ACTTAAAACACTTTTAAAACTCAAAAACATTTTTCTTTAAAAACGTTTTCAATCATTGATTCTTTCTACGCTTTTGTCGTTTGTTCGAGAGGCCGATATACCATATTTCATGCGGGCTAAGGCCCAATTTTATTTCTATCTTAGGTCTTGCTGTAAGTAGGATATGTATTGATGTAAGTAGGGTATGTGTTTCTGTTAGAAGTACTCGTAAATACTATTTCTTAGAAAAGCATTTGAAAATACTTTTTGAAGGAGCACGTGACATGTGTTTCTCCATAAATCAATTCAATGGCACAATAATACCTTTAGGTTTTTCTGTCGAACATAGTCTAGAAGTAGCCTCAAACAGGCCTTAAAAAATGTTAGTCCCTCTATTAACACGTAGTCGTATACACTCCAAAGCAAGTATTCTATATCAACAAAGATAACTATTGATCCGATTCACATTCGTTACTTTTTTATATTCCCAAATTTCTTAGCTTTTTTACTTTCAATACTTGTGGTAAAATAAGCGTGTTATCTGCCAGCAGATCAAAGTGTTTAGCGTAAACTGTTCATTATTTAGAGTTTACATAAACAAATGGTCTCACGTAACATTGAATACAAAACTACATACGCCTTATGAACATAAGTATTCTTCTTTTAATAAGGGGATAAAGACTTATATAAAATGAGGATGATGTACTTTCATTAACGATATGTCAAGTTAGTCATATATTTTCAAGTAAAAAAGATAAAATTTGTAATAGTGCATAATTAATTTGAAATATCACGTAATGGTCATCTTTATTATATGACAAAATTACAGGTCCAATTTGTCAATTTTCAGAGTGGTCAGTTGGGTGTATTTTGCATGTTTTTATGTAAAACGATCAATTCTCCTTTTAATTAATGATCATGAGATTTACATGTAAATAGGGATTTAACGTGAACATCATTCTATCGACACCTTGTTGTAGATATAAAATACCATTTAACTGTGAAGAATCAAATTTGCTGAGGATAAATTTAGATACATTGAGATATTGGAGAAAACTAACCATTGAAATAGAAAGCTAAGTTGATATACCTGTGGGACTGTAGATTCTAAAATTTTACAATCTCATCTCTTTCTTCCCGCTTTCGCCTTAATCCCTAACATTCTAAGGTCGAATTACAAATGCAAAGTATGAAACACAGTATGAGGTTTTAATGAAGAATATCTTATGATGACAATAAAATTAACAATGAATGGTCTTTCCAAGCTAAAGGTGAGAACGCCTATAGAGCTTGTAAAGCACATGCATGAGTTTTAGATTTTCAGTCATCAAAACAATGATACGCAAAAGCACAAGTAAAAGATGGAAGAATCAACATAAGTAATATTAGAGACAAGAATTGTTGTATATGGAGATGATTGATTCAGAACCAAATAAATTCTTGTGCACAACTTACCCAAGAGTTTTTCAAGAGGACACTTTCAGGCTCGTCAGTGTTTGTCTTTCAAGGCTTGGGGACTCATGTCATTTCAAATTTGCAAAAGTATGCATTTGCCAACAGAATATTGCAAAGTATGTCCTGAAATCAGACCACATGAAGAAATTTTTTATAACGTTCAAACTCCAAATTTGACATATCGTTGAATGCTGTAACTACTTTCAAGGAGCTTATGACTAGGCACTATCATCTTTTCTTGAATTCCATTTTGAAAACTATGAGTGGCTTTTAGAAATTTGGGCAGGGAGGGATGTGATAATGTGATTATTGAAGTCAGTGCAAATGGAAAACCTCATATAATTACTTAAAGTTCAAGCTATAGTAATTACTTCATTTTTTTTACCTTTTACATTTATTATGTTCTAGTAGAATGATTATTGATTATGTTCTTTTGTGCATTGGATCCAGATTTTCCAACAGTACCAGTCACAATTGTTGGAGGCTCCAAATTGTATCAACAAACGCCAAAATCGTACAAATTTCGATGTAATGATTCAATAAGCGTGGTCACGGAATAACATAGTAATCTTAATGAACCTTTTCAAGGATCCAAGGAAGACAATCAAGTTAGAAACCTTTAACGTCTTCAAGCTATTTGTTGCAAACCAAAATAAGACTCATTATATTGTTAATGTTCTTGTTTCAAATAGAAGCAAGATTCTTCATTTCCATTGAGAAAGTGGATGAGCACATTGAAGCAAAGAAAGCTCAAGTTATTAATGAGATTTATGTTCTTGAATTCAAACCGGGCAGTCCCAGGATGTCATCAGTCTTCAGCTTTAGAACCAACTATGTGAGGTTCAATGTTAAAATTGTACCGTTGAGTTGTAGTGCTCGTTTTATAACTCATTTTGAAAAGAGAAATTGAATTACTATCAATTAAAGTTTTGTTGTCATATGAAAAAAAAGCTAATATAACCCGTTCTTGTTTGACTGAAATTCTTATATTCCCTACCAAACTAGTTGAACCACACACATTGCATTTGTCACCTCTATTATTTCCAATTATGTGTGAACAGTTATATATATATATATATATATAGATACTCTTTATGAAAATGTTTTTAACTCCATATGTTTTAAGCACCAAACCAATTTTTTTTCAAACATTACCCATATTATTGGTGGCATCCATCACCTTTTTTTGTTTTTTAACACAATTAATTTGGTGAATTAAAAGGTTTATCAAACAAGTGGACATAATATTTGAATGAGGATCTTCTCCGGATCCTCTTTGTAAAGATCCCGGATATCCTCCAATCGTGTCCATTTATCGTACATTGTGCGGCCAGTTTTCTTCATATACTGTTTATATTCAATTTTAAATAAAAGAATTTGCAATAATTTCTAACCGTACGATATTTGATGAATGGACACGATTGAAGGATCCCTGAGATCCTCACAAAGAGGATCCGGAGAGGATCCTCACAAAGAGGATCCGGAGAGGATCCTCATTCATAATATTTGACAACAAAGTGCCTTTTGAGATTGATAAAACCACACCAAACCAAGTCCTTTTAGTCCAATTATTAATAATAACAAACTGATCAGTATATCTATTGCAGGATTATATGGCAATCATGTCATATAAGAAGTTGAAGGTTTCAATTCCAACCGTACAAGTGGATTAATGTGTCAACACCATAAACAATACATGAACAAAGACATTTTCTCCATGCATATATACAACCCCTATGACAATATTGGTCGAATTTGAAAAGGCTTTAATTCTAGTCCATACAAATATAAACAAATGCTTTCTTCTTTGGTAATCAAATTGACTGGTTAACCACCCACCAAGAAAATTATGGCTCAAAACCTCGCACCAAGTCATCTCATAAAGCTTCCTTATACTTTAATCATGTTTATCTTTTGCTTTTCCTAAATTAGTGGTTTTTATTTTGACAAAACTAGTGGTATACTTGGTTAATCTAATAGCCCTATTTTACAAATAATTATAGACCAAGTTTTGTGTGGAACTTAAGTAAAGGAATACAATGATACATTTGTCATCTAGTCGAGCATGCATGGTTGTCATTGGAGACTTGAAATTCCAGGACAGAATTCATCTTATAAATGGCTTTTTTTGGTTCCAACTTCTTGGCCATTGTCACATAAAATTATTTTTGAGCTTCTAAAATGTGCAAAGGAGTACAAGAGAGTGGCTTCTGCCTGTCACCAATTATCATTCCTTCAAGAAGGTTGGTTTGTTGTGAACTATGCAACTCAAGGGCTTCATTGTATTGCCTAGCAGATGATGCATTTTTGTGCCGGAAATGTGACCGATGGGTTCATGGGGCTAATTTCTTAGCCCTAAGGCATGCCAGGTGTTTGTTGTGTAAGACATGCCAGAATCTTACTCGAAGATATGTTGTTGGGATTGCGGTGGAGGTGATGTTTCCAACCATTCTTTGTCGGGTAGATAGAAACCAGTGCATGGTCAGCTAAACAGAAAAGGCCTTCTTTTAATTTTCTATGATATGCATTTTAATTCTTGAGTTATTCTTTTTATATGATTTTATTCTATTGTGGTGTTGTGTCTTTTGAATCGTTAATTGATAAGAGAACCAATGTAGTCTGTGAGGTATTGAAGATGGAGTCCTGAATTTATGGAATTGTGAATTCACCTTTTTTTTGTCAGATCATTAACTTTAAATTCTTATTAATGTATTTGTAATCTTAAATTTAATGGCATGAGGACCAAGATTACTGAGATAATGCTTCTTAGTTATTGATTATCGTAAGTATCACAGAAATGTAAGCTCCGTCTTTTGCCTAGCTACCTACTAGCATCCTTTCAAATTCATCCTAATTAAATTAATCATCCAATTCTGCTAAAACTAGAAGTTGGAGCGGATTTTTATTAAGAAATGGTTATAAGTACAACCAGTTTCAGATGATTATCATACTTCACACAAAAGAGTTGTATCTCAATTTGATTGTTTTACTTGAAGCTATTCTTGTAAATTGCTACTGAAAAAGTTTAGAGCCATTGGAACGGTGTTACTTACTATTTCATATTTGTGCAGTATTGTTCGTTGCAAACCTCTCGCTACCTTCTCAGTCGAACATTATATGATGATCGTGCTCCACAATGAGTAGCCTGTTCTGGCAAGGCTGTGCTCAGTTATTTCTAAAGTGCAAAAGTTTACTTGGTAAGATGCCTTGCATTTAAGAAAAACCAGTGTAGATATATATGGCTTAGATGAGAGGTTTTTAGTATGCAATCCTGATATCCAATTACCAATACACAATTGATATAGTATACCACTGTCTCATAATAGTTTGGAAATTACAATGACAGAGACCATTGCTGCAAAATGTAAGTTGTAGTTAGGGATGTTTGCAGCAAAGGTACGTTGTAGGGACGTAGAATTTGCGGAGTTCTTCGCTAAATTCTTTGACTGAATATATAGTATATAGTCAGTTACCAATTTGATCCAAGTAGTTGTCAGATGCTCTTAATTGTTGTGAACTTAAGGCTTCATTTAGAAACGCCAATGAATGATTTGTGCAACTTAAAGAAATGGTGACTCAGATAATCATTATTGAAAACATGATTGAGTTCAGAATATTTATGCAAAGCAAATTCATAGGAAAAAAAAGTGGGGTTTATTTTTCTATGATTATGGAATCACAGTCATCTCAGTACTAGGAACATGATGCGCGCACGGATGTAGGTGGATTATTTTATCCAATAAGGCCTTGCATTGCAGCTGAAGAAATAGAGATTTTCTGCTGATATATGCCTTAGTAGCTCCTTGTCACAAGGGGATCGTAATCATATTCTTCGCCAGCTTTAACAAATCTTCCTTTGACGCGTTTTCTGGTATCAGCTCTGGCCTTCCTAGAGGCATATCTTATTTGTTTACCAAACCTACACATCAAAAACACAAAAAACTCTAAGTAAATGTAAAGCAAGTATGCCTTAAATAGTGCATATGCCATTCTAATATACATAGGTTAGACACGTACGTGCGAGTTTTCTTTTTCTCCTTGTATCTCATCTTAGCCTTGTCCCTTGCTTGTGGACTGCTAGCCTCCAAAGTTGACTCCCAAGGCTCTCCGGTTAGAAAGACTGGTGACAATTCACAATCTTGGTAATCAGGATTGCTTTCCCTGCTGATGCTGGACAGTGTAAGTGACATGCTCGGATGAACTTGTTGGGCGGCAGGAAATCCAAGGTTGATGCTTCTGCTGCAAGTAGGATTCATGAGTAAGCAGTTTGCACTACCATTCATGCCTGACATAACAGTATCTGATCCACAAGAGGATTGAAATGCTGCACGGTCTTGTTGTCCTGATGATGATGCCTAAGGAAAACAATAATCATGCGCATTGTGAATAAATCAGGTCAAGTCAGAATGCAACCGGATTTGCAACGAAAGGAAAAGAATTCTTCTTTTTCAGTCATTTTTTACATCTTCTTTTCAGTCATTTTTTTTCTTTCAAATTGTTAGCTCATAGTAATCATTCCTTGAACTTCAAAGCATAGACAAATGTTTATTTCTTGCAGTGTATCATAAAAAATAAAAAATAATTGTTAATATGGTAACTAGCAGTTCCTAATAGTCACATGTTTTTAACCTACCAAATCAGAGCTGCACCAAGTGATGTGGAAAAATGGACCACGAAATTAACCTTATATCCTGTGTCAACAGAATCATTTCATTCCTAAGATACCATTGAGTAATGTAAAGTTGGCTATTAATATTTGGAATAAAATCTCAACTGTTGAACCGATTAAAATCAAATATTAACAACATATTGATCAAATATTAATAACATAGCTAGTGTTGGTATATTGACGACTTTTATTTGAGAATTGACCATTTCAGCAAGGGTTGAAAAACTATCATTTTGACCAATTTCTGTTAACTAATCATTATCATTAATTTCATATCTCAAATCAGAGGCATCATATAATAAAAGAAAGATGATTTCACGAGAAAATCTGAAATTAACTTGGAGTATGCGAGCACCTGTGCAGCATTCTCATTAGGACCAATAGACTCAGTGACTGATAAGCTTTTCTCCATTAACAAGCAATCCATTTCTCTATCCTCAAACTGGTATGGAGAAGGAACTTGTGGACAGAATATCCCATCAGGATTTTCAAAGTTCAGTGGAACATCATCAACATTGAGGCCATCACATAGGACATTGCTATCCTGAATTGCAAGATCTTTAAAATTGGTACAACCCTGAAGCACATGTGATAAGTGGTATAGCAATGCATTAATCAAGCTTAAACAAGCAAAACCCAAACAAATCACTTATAAGGAATTTATTAAATAGCACAGAATGATGAAGAAAACTAGTTTAAAAGTGCCTCTATATGGTTTTTGCAACTATATTTATTGTCTTTTTGAGGCCCTCTTAAAGTTCTTACTGCCACAAAATTGACTTGCATTGTTACTCATCTCCCAAACCCTTGTGTATATATTCCCTTCTTAAGAGGATCCCTTTTTATAATAAATAAATAAATAATTACATCACATTGTTGAGGTCACATTGCAATGTGCTTCAGTAATCCGAACTGTCTAATTTGATATCCTCATATGAGAATCTTCCCTGCAAAGGTCGTACCCAGTGCACAAGGCTCCCGCTTTACGCAGGGTCTGGGAGAGGTGAATGTCGGCTAGCCTTACCCCCATTTATGGAGAGGCTGCTCCCAAGTCTCGAACCCGAGACCTACCGCTCATGGGCGAAGGCACTTGCCATCGCACCAAGTGCGACCTCTTTAGAATCTTCCCTGCAAAGAATCAACAAAAATTGAAAAATCGCTTGACCATTTGATAATCAATACGAACATTTTTGTGTTTATCGGAAACACTATGTTCGTCAATTTATTTGGTCATAATTGGATGACCACATGGTTTCCGATTTAATTGACTTCTTGTAATATGATCCCTGAATGGGGACTTAACAAATAATCGGTTCAGATCATTGAATCACATTCAATATGGGATTGTGAAACTATCTAATTCTTAATAAGATCCAATTATCCAAACCGTCTTAAGAAGGATACCAAAAATATGTTAATCTATAGTTGTATTAAAGATGTAGTTGCATTAAAATACCATAACTAGCTAGTACAGAACGTTACCTTTAGCAGGCTAGACTCCTGAGGCAAGAAAGGTGTTTGATCTTTCCCGTGAGGAGTGCAATTCGGATTCGATGGAATCAAAGTTGAACTACTGGCTATCCAAGGATCAAACTTGCGGCCACAAGACTGATCTAATGATGATCCTCCATTCAACTTGCCAGCAGTGACAACCACCCCAAATGATCTGTCATTATTATCTCTACCTTCCAAACCATTATTACTAATGTAATTAGTCTGATCCTGATTTATTGCCACTACAGCTGATCCAAGTGACTGATCCCAGTTACTACTTTCAAAATTACCACCTGAAGAAGAAGATCCTTCAAGAACCGACCAAATTCTCGAAAACTCAGACAAACTAGGGCAACCCGTGTAACAAGTCAATGCATGTGTCCTATGTCCCCCCATCCCACCTCCTGCTGAAGCAGTAGTAATTCCATTAATACTAGTATTGTTATGACTCCAGTGATCACAGCTCTGACATAAGGACGTCTTCTCATCCATACATCGGATGATAGCAGGCTGAGCATTGCACTTGTCGCATAGAAGGAAACGAGGGTGCTGGCGTGACAAAGCGTTAGCTGAGTGCACGCATCCATCACAGTACAAGCAAAGGCGAGCCATATCCGCTTTACAGTAGACAACTGCCGTTGCCATCCCACAAAACTCACATAGAGGCTCCATTGTTTTTTTATTGGTGGAGATAAATATATGTGAACTGAATATAAATATGAAGATAAATAGCTTTCGTCTTCTCTAATTAACCTACTAATACTACCCTTCTTACTGTTATTGCTTATCCTCCTAGCTACGATCTATGACTGGAAATCATGGATCATGGCGGGATTCCGTCTCGTTTATGGTTTTAAGCTCCAACCACAAAAAGGCTTTCTCTTATCCTTCATCATTTTCAAACAACAAAAAACAAAAACATATCAGCAACACAACACTCACAGATCAAGAAATACAAATATCTAACCAGTGACCTGAGTAACTATGCTCCAAAACAATGGTAGTGATTATGGTTACAATCAATTTTAATTTCACTTCGAAAATATTATGTAAAACATATTAATTTTATGTTTGTTTTTTAATATCATAACTGGAACAAACTAATTAGAGCGATTGCAATAAGCGCTCACTGGCCGGAAATGGAGTGAATTCCTGCTGAAACCATCAAAACAAAATCAGGATCAAACATGCATTCCATCAGTAAGCGCATCAAAACCAAAATTTGTTGATTATTAAAATGATTTTTTTTTTATTGAAAACAAGAAGTGTCGACGGTGAGAAGGTAGCAGTAGCAATAAGAACTCAAAACCTTGACATTGACGCAGCTCATCAGCTGAGTAAGTAAAAGGTAGTTAGGGTTCTTTAGGGTTTGTATATATTCAAGCCGGTCCTAGGGTTTCTGGGTAGTTGAGACGTGGCAATATGTGGGCCTGTCAATGAATATGTGGAAAAAGGAGGTGTGGGCCAGTGTAGAAATTCAATCACAAGCTGATCGACAAGTCAGCGAAGCTCGGAATACAAAGATCACAGATGTGAAGTGGGGATTTAGGAGAGACCTTTTATGAGTTAAGAAGTTATTAACATGGAGAATCCAATCTTAAGCAGGTTTATTCTCTCAATCTATCCATCCTTTTAACTTCAACAAAAAAAACTTATATATTTAATGAAACAAATAATCAATTTTTGAAAAACAAAATTGCGAATTCATCGGGCCAAAAACCGAAAGCTAAAGTATATACAAGCAAATGATCATTCCTTAAAAAATAACCCCACCAAAGGCCATAGATTGGTTCGCCACAGTGTGAAAAATTAAGGTACTGTGCTAAAGGCCACAGCTTACTGATCAACCATGGGCCGAACATCCACAACTGTGGCTCCGTCCACCAGAAGGTTCTGATCGGAAAACACAAACTAAAACCATAATCAAACAGACTCTGAAAGTATCTTCAATGAGATGGCAAATGTTATCTCGAAGTTTTATTTGATGGCCGCATGAAATCCGATCCAAAATCGATATTTCTTCAAATCAATATGTTAATCATTATTTACTCTATAACTCAAAAGTACAAAATTCATAATCCTTGAAATAAACAAATTAAAGTGAGAAGCACAGTTAATAAGGAGAATGAACACCCACCCATTTATTTGGTTTCTGCCAATTAACCTCAACAATTGACCTTAGGACCCAACAAGCTCTTGCTCCACTTTGGGTCGAACCTTTTGGGGAGTCCTCTGTAAAACTTAATGTTGACGACAGCTTGGTTGAAGCTTCGATCACTACTGCTCTCGATTTCGCTGTTCATAACTCTGCTGCTTTCTGTTGCTTCTAGGTGAGAGATTTAAGTATCGAAGCCAAAAAGACCTTACGGTAAGGCCTATTCTTAGCTCTTGGAAACACCAGTTGTGCTTTTGTGTATTCAGATTGAGGCCTAGGGTTACTCTAATTAGGTAAGCAGAGTAATTAATTAGTAAATCAAATTTTTCGATGGGGTTGGTTGGAACTTGTGAGGCTCCCCGCAGTTTTAGTTGTATTAATATTAGATAAAACAGAATACTCACTGAAAAAAAAAAAACATAATTATATTAAGAACAAATAACATTGATGAACAATTATGTGAAACTTAGACATTTAAGTTTATATGAATATTCTTGTTTCAAAAGAAAAACATTTTGAATATTCTAATGTATAAGGTTGTGGATATGGCAGTGACATGTGTTGGAGTCTCCTGGAATCAAACTCTCTTTGTGAAATCTTATATGTTAATTTCACCAATTGTGGTCTTGGCTCATTGAGACTTTAGGGGCATATCTTTAGGTGTTTTTGTGCATTTTATAGATCATTTTATTTTCACAAAAAATAAATAAAAATCATTGTTTATTTATTTATTTTTGTTTTGGTAATCACTGAACATTTTATTTGGTATTTATCATCTCATACGTAGGAGAGATCTAGAGATGCAATGGTAACGATGAATTGTGTTTTGGGGTATAGTTGTGAGGTTCCATGGAGTGATTTACGTTGGTATAGGAGTGTTGCAACGTAGATATATTCTTGCATTTACTCACCAATCACCACTCTAATTCGCTTGGATCTCACATATACATGCACTTTTATTAGTAGATGGATTTATATGGTACGAGTACATTGTCACAGTGGCGTTATGTGCCAATGAGATAATGACGTTTGTAAACTTTTGTTCAAATGTTCTTGTTTTATTGCATGAGACGCTATGTGACAATTTAAGTATTATGTAAGTTGTTTTCCTTAATTAAAAAAAATATGATAAACAAGGTGCTCGCTAAATAATGTATATAAAGAAGAGACCCCCACAAAGAACGTTATTCCTTATGTAAATAACATGGCATTCCTATAAATATCAGTTTATAATGATAATATTACATCTCACAAATAAAACCTTCCTACCATAGGCACCACCATACATGGAACTTCAACAAATTCATCTTCTTTATTCATGGACCACACTCACTATAAATTTACGAAAAAAGTTATTTAAGACCTTCCAAGAAAAAAAGTAAGAAAATGAAAATGTATTTTTATTTTCAGAAGTTGTTGATCATAGGTATGATGGTGGCTCTGATTTTGGAATATGATAATGAGTATCAACAAAATCATCAGAACTGAGCTTATCGGGGCTAGATGCTGGTTGATCGGAGTTAACCGTGTGTGCCGGAACACCAAAGTTATAATCCCTTCCTCCCCGCCTCCCCCATTGCTTCCCATTGCATGGTGAGTCTCTGTCGATGACACAAGGCCCAAAGTGAGCCTCCTCAGCACGAGCTGCTACAGCAGCCAGAAGAACCACAACCAAAATTGTCAACAACTTCCACATTGTTGCTTGCTTGCTTATTGGGGTAGAGTGGTGGGAATCATGTGGACATGTGGAGTCAACTTATATAGCTACGTATACCACTGAAATTCGATCGGTAATCACCTTTCGTATAAGTAATTAATCGAGTAATTCAATTCTGTCTCACGTTATGAAATTGAACGGATGTAGGTTACTAGTTAATTTGTTTATTGTTCAATATGTAGTGCTTTGCAATTTGCTACACTGATTAATTCTGTAACGCTTAGTACATGTAATGCATGCAGTTTTGGGTTGCTGCACCCTGCATAGTCGTAAGCTGTGCTAGGGTTTACATTTGTATTTTGTCAATATGCTAGGGTTCACGTAAATTGAATCGATGATCAACTTTGTAAATAATTCCAATCATTCATTGCCAAATTAACTCTTGGTGTGTGTGTATATATATGTATGTATATATATCTATGTATGTACTTGTATTAATGAAGCGATCTACAAAACCTTAATAACACTAATATCAAAGCACAACCAATTGAAGCAAATCTTCTTGACATATATTTTGCACCACACAGGACTGTAATGTCAAAGATTCCTAAACCCTTAAATCCCTAAATTATAAAGAAACAGATTGAAAAATTATATTGAAAGAATAATGCCAGCGATGAAGAATTAAAAAGAAGAAAAATTTGATCAAAAAATAAAATAAAATAAAATGAAGAAAAAGTTTATGTTGTGAGCGTGAAGACTGGACTGGTTTAGGAATGATGTTTACATTGTTGGGATGGCTTGATGATACATATAATTATAACCCTTGGTTATCTCAAACTTCAGATGAGTTACAACACACTCGATCAAGGTTGAGAGGTTGAGTATGCGCTTTATTACAAATATCGAATTCATCACGACTCTCGGAAGGTTGAACTCACATGGCAAAACCACTAGCCAATTATTAAAAAAAAAAAAAAAAAAAAAGAACCCATCACAACATATGAATATGTGCAGTTCTTGCATTCATAAGAGTTGAAATGGTAGACGTTTTTTCAACCAAGTGTGAAACCATTAGACTAAGTGCCAATTGGTGGTAAAATAATTCTCTCACAAAAAGAAAATTTCTCTCAAACTAATTGTGTGTCGTGCTTATGTTATACCACCCATTTGATCAACTGATCAATTGATCGTGTTGGGTTGTGTTACCCGAAAAAATAAAATACTTCGCTGTTTTGGCGTGTTGACTGCATCTAGTAGTCTCCAGTTTTCGGCATTTTTGGGCTTGTCTTGTTAATTGTTTGTAATCTGGTATATTTATTGCGTTTACTTTTTGACCAGGGATTTTTTGCCAACAAAGTGAGGGAAGGATTTTTCTTTTCTGATGCTAGTCATAGGTTGGTGGGAAGGGGAATTTGGAACCAAAAATTAGGTCAATATCTATTGATATTAAAGTAATCACTTAAGACAGTCAAATCTAAAATCTATCTATTGCTTACAAATGAAATAAAGTAACACTAGGCGAGAATTATGGTGCTGGTAAATAATGAAATAAATAAAACTAGAAACCGATCGGTAAATACATGTTTTTAAGATGAATAAGGATTAAATTTATTAAAATACGTTAATCAATAATAAATGTCACAAAAATACCGCACACAAAATCATTGCAGAATATTTGATTTCAAGAAGAAGGTGACAAGGGCATCTCTTTCCAATTTGATGCTTCTCATTTTCATCGTCTCAAATAAAATGGACCAATAAATACGTTTTTGATTTCGATACCAAATATGCCTTAAACAACAATTTAAATCCCTAAACTCCCCTTGAGTTATTAAAATTTCAAAATAGGTCCTTTTCTAATTTCTAAATTCTAAATTCTAAATTCTATTACCATTTTACGTCTTCCTCCTCCTGCTTGGTCCTCACTCAAACCCCATCAACCTTTTGCACCAGATCAGGTTCGAGATCCAGCGAACCCGTTAAAGGTTCGCATTGCAAGGTAACGTTTATTTAATCAAAGCCATTTTTTCCCCCTCTCTAATCTCCGTTTGGATCTGATTCCTGTTCAACTGTTTCAATCCCACCTCTCTGCGTTTGCTCGTTCTGGTGTTTTCTGCGTGTTTTGCATTGCTTTCTGTTGAATTTTGGGAATTGGGTATCGATTGGTTCATCTGAGTATTTTGAATTTTTGGGGGAATTTGGATTTGGGTTGTGAGAAGCTGTATTCATCAAGTGCTTTGGTGAATTCAGAAGTTTTTATAAGGTGGTTTGCGTAATTCTGATGTTTAGTTGGTTAACGAAATGGGATTTGTATAAGTTTTTTTAGCATCTAATTAAATGGTGAATTTGGTGCTTGTTATTCATAAAGATAGGATTTTTAGTTGCCCATCAATGCTGGTCGTTTTTTTTTCTTTTTCTTTTTTCCAAAAGGGGAACAACCGGTGGCAACCATGGTTCTCCATCTATTTCGGGAGCCGGAAAGACTCACAGAGGCATTCTGGCCACAAGTCTGGCTTCCACACCGACAGCGGGTTTCGAACCCGAGGCCTCCAGCTTTTAGTTTTAAGGAAGCCTCTTAATCCGTCATTTACCACTCGGTCACCAGCTCGTGGTTATCAATGCTGGTCGTTGTTAGTCCATACTTTTATTTCACTGTTAAGATCTTAATGTTGTTGCTCAGATGCGTGGCTTTGAATTTTGATTTTTGTTCAGCTGAATTAGTTACTGTGCATATCAGAGCTATGCGGTTTAGACTGCGTCCGGGATCTTAGAATGAAGTTATTGCATCTATGAATCATTAGTTAGAAAGATGTTATGCTTGATATCCCACCTTCCCAAACTTTAAGACAATGGTTTTCCGAATTCTTTTGGTCACTTTATAATGAAATTTTAAATTTCTCTGTGATTTCATTTGCTGCAGTTTCTTGGCTGGCTTAGCGGAGGAAAAATTCCTAGTTGCTAGTTTTATCTATGTTTGGAGGTGTTGCGACAGTGCCTTCCAATAGTCCTCACTTAAGAAAGTCGGGTAGCAGACCTGTTGTCTCTGATCTGGGTACAATTAAGTGTTTGAGTTATGACTTATGAGTTGTGATTGATATATCTACCATGGGGGGGCTTTTGTTTTTTCTTCTCTTGTCACGGCCTTATATTTATTGAAAAAAATCTTTCAGGTACAAGTGAGCTTGAAAATGGTGCAGAGGAGGGTTTCTTGCGTCTGATAGAGGGAAACGATATGAAGGGTGGAAGCATGCCAAGCATACCAAGGAGTACTGCTGCAATAATGCCATCTCCAGCTATGTTATGGAGATTTAAGGTTTCGTTATGATAATATTCTTAGTCTTTCTGAATTACGTTTCCAGTTATTTTGCGTAGTTTTGCTGAATAATTGTAAAATTCTCAACTTGGTAGAAGGAGGGAATTTCAATTTATTTTTCATTATTTATTGTATTGAAAAATTGTGAAATGGATGGCCTGGCTCACCAAAGTTGGATAGAAGTGGATCATTTCTTCTCTGCTTTGCAATTGTGTTGGGTTTCGGTTCAATAGCATGTGTCATATATATTTACATCTTCTATTTCTTGGCTTTAGTTTCATGGCTTCCTAAGTTGGTTTTA